GATGGGACTGAGGCAGAGTGGTTTGGAGGGGGAACTGGAGGACTGTTATGGGTCAGACAGATGCACCAGCCCACATGGAAGACCTGTGTTGGACTAGCTGGCATGGACCACAGCTGACAACCATGTACCAGTGCGCACTAAAGCTGGGGCAAGGTGCCTGCCTGGTAGCAATATATGATAATGCCCACCAGTGAGTGCAGAAACAAAGGATGGGTCACATTAGACTGGATCATAACTCTAACCAGCACATGAGAGAACCAGGTCTGGGGGCAGATTCTGTGGGGGATGTGTGGAACTCCAAATTCAGCTGATTAGCTTAAGACCTGGAGGTGGTGACATGCTGATCTGGGCATGACCATGGAACCCTCCAACACTCATGGGTACTGAGGTTTGGAACAGGCCCCCAAAATAGGGCATGGGGCAGACTGGACTGCAACATCCACCAACTTATACAAAGGCCTGGATGAAGGGGGCAGACTATAACCCTCTGATACATGTGCAGCCTGGGTCTAGGAATGGGCTTGGTAGGGGAACTTGAGAAACTCCCCTGGTGGGCCATAGCTTCGACTGGTGAGCATGTGGTTCAGATGTTGATGTTGGTCAGGCTGGGCAGGGTAGCTCCATCCATCGGCAAATGTGTGGGTTTGTTCAGGAAGGCAGTGGACAGGACATGGCCGGACCAACCTTAACCCACTGGCATGTGCAGGGGCCAGGCTGGAGTACAGGTCATGTCAAACTAGGCTGTCACACCTGCCGGTTTGCATGAGCTAGGAATGGAAGCAGACTGGGTAGTACTAGGCTGCAGCACCCACCAGCAGGTGTTGGGACTAGATGCATGCCAGGCCAGGTCAGACTGCAGCATCAGATGGCAAAGACCAAGACAGGAGATGAACTATGCTGAACTGAATCACAGCAACCACTGGCAGAAGTGAGATCTGTGGCTGGGAACAGGCCTGGTTAGGGAGCTAAGGGGATGCCCCTGCTGGGTTGTGGTTCCCACTGGTGAATATAAGACATAGAATAGGGGTGGTGATCTGGACTGGATATGATTGCAGTGTCCTGAGGAATGAATGTGGACTGAATCTAGGGTACGCCAGAGTGGGCTAGACTCCAGCGCTCACTGGTGCTTGCAAAAGCCGGGGTGGGTATAGAATGGGTTGGGCAAAGTCTCTGCCCCCACTGAACCACATGAGAACTGTGTTTGAGCATGGACCACGTGTGGTTGGGTTGTAGCAATCAAAAGTAAGAACTGGAATGGGTTTGGGCCTGTTGGGAAAGGCCACTGTTCCTACCAGGACAGGAGGTGGACTAAATCAGGCTGGGCCAAGGACTCACTGGTGATCTGCCACTGGAAAGAGACACGATAGAGGATCTTGGAGAACGTTTCAGTCATGATGCAGTCCCTGCAGGTAAAGCCAAGAGCCACAGCAGGCAGCAGCCCAGACCAGGTCAAGGCACGGTACCTGCCAGGCTGGACCAGTTCATGACACTCACTGGGAGATCCAAGATCCAGGACTGGGTACGGGGAAGGCTGGGTTAGGCCTCAACACCAACCAGTCCACATTAGGGCTGGGACTCGGGGCTGGCTGGGCTGGGCAATGCTGCACACCCACAGGCATGAGCTGGAACTGGGGACAGGATGGGCTGGACTAGGATACAGCATCAGCTGGCAGAAGTACAGGTGGGCCATACTGTCCACAGCACTACCAACAGCACATGTGGACTTGAGATCGGGGAGAAGTGAGCCTGGTAGAGGGGCAGTGTAGGTTTCCCTGCTGGGCTAGTGCTCCTACTAGCAAGCATCAGATCTGGGATGGTAGCAGACCAGGCCAGGCAGGGCTACAACACCTTTTGGCTTGCATGTGAGCTGGGTCAGGGAGAATCAGGCTGGACTAATTGAATCTATCCTGTATAGTGGTGCATGCATAAGCCAGAGTAAATGCAGGCTGGTTAGGCTTTGCCACAGCATCAGCTAGCAAGTGCTAGGACTGAGGGCAAGTCTTGTCAAGGTACACTGCAGATCCACCTGGAGAGTGCAAGGGCCCAGCAGGGAAACTTGGCATCTTTCTTATGGGTTACAACTCCTACTGGAGAGTGTAAGAACCAGGGCTTGGAGGCAGGCCTGGCTAGATGGGTGGTGGCACCTGCCAACATGAGTGTGGGCTGGATAGTAGGATTGATTAGGCTGAACTAGGCTTCAACACCTGTTGGCTTATACAAGAGCTGAATGGGATCGGGGACAGAAAACAGATCTAGGGGGTGGGTCTAGTGCGGGCCATTGGGGGTTGCTCTGAGTAGGCCTCAGCTCCTACTGGTGAATGTGAGGGCGAAGTGTGGAATGGGCAGGGTTGGGCTGGGTGGCAGTGTCCATTGGATTTTGTAAGAGATGGGACTAGAGACAGAACTGACCCAGCAATTGCAACTGTCAGTGTGTATGTGTGTGTGGGGGGGGGGGGGCTGATGTGAAGACAGACAGAGCCAGACCCTGTACTGGTAACTACACACATTGATCAGGTCTGGGATCAATTCAGGCAAGGTTTGTTTGGTAATCGCCTCAACAGATTGCTGGACTCAGAACCCCAACCATGAGAATCACAGCATCTGTGGTCTGACTGTGGAGTGCATGTGTCATCGCTGGGACTCCTCAGTGACTTGCAGGCACCAGTGGACAGCATATCCAGATGCACGTGGAGGATGTGGCAGCTCATTGAGGCCTGTAGAGGACATCTGATCCCATAACAGAGGAAGGAGGTCAAAGCAGTTGGTTAAATACTCCAGCTAAGTGTTGGCAGCAAATATCTGGGTGAATGGAGAATCTAAGGTAGGCTACGTCAGCCAAAGGGCCTTGGAAGGAGTTCACCCTTGGATCGGCGAGATAAACAGCATTTCAGAACTATCAAACCATTAAAGCCACCTGAGCAGAACCCTCAGTGTATGCTCTACACCAGGGACCCTGGGATGACTTCAGGTGGTCATTCTTCACTCCCAGGCACTGGTGCAGTTTGGATGCTGGGTGTGGCATCTCGCCAGATACAGGAAAAAGAGAAAACAAAATGTGGAAACAATGGTCTTACCCACATTCCCCTAATTCTTGACCCTTCTCACCCTACTCAACTTCATCAAAAACAAGATTAAAAAAAAATGGCTGTGGAATAGAATGCTTTTGTGTAGTCATTGTGAGAAAAAGAAAAGGAAGAAGATGAAGAAGGAGGAGGGATTAACAGGATAAAAGATGCACACAGAGCTTCAGGTGTGTGGGTTTAGTTTAGGCGTATGTGGAAGGAATCTAGATTCCAGCTGTAGTGGGAAAGATACACTTGGGCAGAGAGACAGGAAGACACGCCTGTACACACTCATAGGGGAGTGAGAAAGGGAGCAGGACATGCAATTAGCTTCATGGAGTAACATTTGTATAAAGTAACTTTTATGATGTCACTACCTAGATCTTTTAAGTCATTTGAATGTTGGAAACCACAGGCTTCAGTGGCAAATAGCCCTTGATATCTGCTCCGGAGACTCAGGTCCTGAGTTACTTACAAAATTGTGATTCTTTGAAGAAGTTAGTGAACAACTCCTTATGTAAGCTTTGCTGTTTGTTGAATTATATAGCATTATGGGCTTCCAAACTGCATATTATTATGGCAAAGAGAAAAGGAGATTATGGTTGGCAAAAAGTTCATGAAAATGCATGTTACAAAAAAGTATGATGGGTTTCAAATTGATTTGCAATGTCCTCATAATAAAATATGAAACATTGTAGTTATTAGTATAGTCTTTAGATATAATATGCTTTTCATAGTACAACAAAGCCAGAGCTAACCCTACTAAAATATGCAGCTGCTATTATCAATGTTTGACATAGAATCAAGGGTTGTTAGGGGAAGTTTTCAAATATTGACCAAAAAAAGGTTTCAAATATCTCCCCATTGGAGGTTGTTGGCATATTGAAGGTGTAAAGAGATAGAAGCAAGCCATCATATTGGATTGACTTGGGGGACTTGTTCGTTCTGAGTTGGAATCATGGGAAAAAACTGGGGAAACTTCTTGGCCAGGTCCTGAACTGTTTGCAAATGGCTCCTTGATGGAGAGGCTCTAGGTGAGTCTGACTGTTGTAGATGGCTGGACAATCGCCTGTTTATATATGCCATCTCCCAGAACAGGTGAGACTTGGTTCAGATGCTGGCTAGTAGTATCATGGTTTTGCACTGTGGTCTGCACAGTTGATCATATGTTTTCTCTCCATAGGAAATCATCCAGCCTCGTGTGAGAAATGCTAAAGTATCACTTGGCTTCAGAAAAGCACTTCCAGGAGTAGGTAACACTCAATGGGAAAACTTTTGTCATGAGTTTCTATGTTCAGGGATGAAATAGGTTAAAAGGAAAACAGCAAAATAAAATAGTCCTAGGGAGAAAGAAGAGCAGACCAAAGTGCTTCCACTTTATCCCCATGCTTAGCCTTCCTGACTCCGTACTCTGAAATCCCCTTTTCTCTTAGGACAAGTTGGCAGTCTAAGCCCACTAGGGAGGTGAAGTGAAGGCTGCGCTCCTCTGGCTGAGTCACATCTTGAACCAATGTGACTGTGAGACAGACAGAGGCTGCTATGGTTACAGACTGCTGTGGAACTCGTGTTCACTTTTGCTTATTTCTTACTTTCCTCTTCTTCCTCTCTGTTTTATCTTTATGGACGGCTTCTTGGCAGCTCTCTTTATCTAATCACTTCCTCCTGGATGTAGTTTACACCTAGTTTCCCTCTTAGGACAGCCTTGTCAAAGAGGACCTGAGCAAGTTTTTTCCTTTGGCTTCCAGAGGTCCACTGTGTGTGTACCCTCTGGGGGAATAAGCAGTTTTAGGCAAGAACATTCCTTTGAAAACGTTCAAATTATGGAATCCTTTGTCCCTTAATGAACTTTACTTGTAAGCTTCTCATCCACTTCTCTCCTTCCCTAACTTAAAAAAAAAAAAAAGTGAACAAAAGACCACTTGAAACAGTGTCTGAGTTTATTTTTCAGTTTTTAATTTTCAGCCTGCCAATATAACAAAGGCATTATTTTAGTACAATCCAATCTTTTTGAGGCAGGGATTTTAGTTGAAATCTAGGAACACAGCTTATCTTGGTCATCATCTTCTACCATTTGCTATAGGTAAAGCTAGGAAGGATTTAGAAGTAGTACTGGTAACTCTGGGACCCACCAGGAAAAGGAGGGATGGCTTCCCTCATCTTGGTATGGCTCCCAACCACAAAAGCAGTTTCGTTGTAAGAGGAGAGTCAGAGCATTTTTAAGTCTACCTTACTTTAGGAAAATCAGGAAAACAGACACAAACAAAGCCAGGATGGCGAAGAGTTTAAGCAGACCTTCAAATGGAGATGGTGAGTCTTGCACAATTCGAGTTTTGGTGACCTTGAGTGCTCGATCCCATTGTGTCATGATGGCCTTTCTGGCTCCACTCCATTTTCCTGGGCCAGTCAAACGAAACTGGTACGGTGTATATGGGCCAAAAAACATGGCCAAAGCCAGCAGTGGATCAGTCAGGAGCAGAGAGAACAAGTTGGGCTTTGCACCCATAGAGGTCAGGAGGTCATCTATGTATGTGATGTAATCGGTCTCTAAAGCCTTGCAGTAGTTCAAGCCGTACCTTTGTGATAGGAAGATTGGGGGAACAGGGGAAGACAAAAGGATACAATAAGAATAATCTAATGTCGATTGAAAGTACTCAAAGCAACTGAATACTAGTAAAAATTTTATAATAGATTCCATGCTCTCCCCTTTATACCACTAGCTCTCTAACAGTCTCATTCTATAAGAAGTTTACAGAGCGTCCAGACCATGCATATTATGGAAAAAAAAATGTATAGACTTCTAAAGTTTTTGTTTCAAAATTAACTGTTTTATTTTCCTTCAATGCTTCTAAGGATATATCTACTTTGTAAAAGCCAGTTATGATTGAATTTGTATAAGGTGGAACATTCATATAGAGTAGGTATCTCTGTTATTCTGGTGTCAGCCCCTAGAATAATTGACTGAAGTGCTAGCAAAATTTGATTTTGTTCCTGCTAGTAATTCATCTTGTAGGAGTTCCATAATTGGGGTCAGATAACACCTCAATCAAAGATAAAGGAGATATATCTAGAATTTTTTATTGTTTTCAAATTTGACATCTTGACACAGATAGATCAACACTTGAAGTTTCCAAGTATTATGCGTCAGAATAGCTATAATAATATACTTAAGTGCAGTGCTTCTAAAAAAAGTCTTTCTTTGCTATAGAACATTTTTTCAAATGAAAATTTCTACTCGATACAGTAAGTCAGCTAACATCACAGGGGTTTTGATTGCATTGGGAGTGAAGACTCCTGGGCCATGAGTTTTTGCTGTTCATCCCCCTCCATTTATCCCTGTTCCCAAAGCATAGCACAGAGGAAGATCTCTCCTTCACAGAAGGTGCCAACATAAGACTATTTGGTAAATGCTGTAGGCTTTGAGGGTCATGCAATGGTCTCTGTCTCTACTAGCCAACCCTGGTGTTCTAACACAAAAGCAGCTATGACAAGAGATGAAAGAATGAACCTGACTGTGTTTTAGCCAAACTTTATTTCTGGTCACTGTGATATGAATTTGACATAATTTCTACACATAACAGTGTTTCCTTTTTTCTTCTATGAGTATTTAAAAATGAAAAAGCAATAGCCAGGTCAGTGGACTTGGGCATGCATGACCCTTAAATAGTTGGAATAAAAACAACAGAACTGCTGAGACTTGTGGGCTGGATGACTGCTGTGAGCAAATGGAGAAACTCAATTATTTGCTGCTTACTTGAAGTAACGTATCTGACAGATGAGGGCAATTGTGTTTGGTCAAGAATTCCAAATCCATGTGAGATTAGGTACCCATCATTGGTGTGCATGATTCTGAGCACAAGCATGATTCCCATTTTTGCTTCTCTCTCTCTTTCAGTAGGCTCTCCCACCTTTTTACTCTTACTCTCAACTGGCTATTTTCCATCCCATGTAACACTCACTTCTGTGCTATTGCACAACCAATTTTAATCATGATTCAGAAAGAGTATCTAATAGTTGACTCACCCAGTGTGCTTGTTTTGCTTCCTTTCATTAACTTCGTTTATCATGACACTTGTTGGTGGTAATTTAATCATTCCTGTAAAATGAATCATAAATGCAATTCAGCTTTAAGTCTAGTTTTTACTTATGGATACAAATGCTTTATGGTTCATTGTTTTTGTTATTTCTAGTACCCAGCTCCTCATCTGTTCTAGCACAAATGGTAGCATCTCGAGCTGATTGGTGATATGCCTCCGAAATAATTTTATCATCTGAAAAGATAATGATTCCACAGTTGCTCTAATTGTTCAAATGAGACCTCACAATTGCATTGATTGAATTTTGTCACCCAGTTGACTGAACTTCAAATTTTACTTGAGCCAGTTGGTTCAGTCAAAATAACAGACACTCCTTATATTTCTTAAGTCCGATGTATCATTTATATTTGCAATGGTATAAGCATATCATTATGAAAGAAAAATTCATTGCACAGTAGAATAGATGCTTCTTTTAGATATTCTATTATTTTAAGTAGAAGCAGAGTAACAATTTCTTAATTTCCAATATAATAAAATCACATAGTAAGCCAAAAGTCTGTGCTGGTTTCCCATAGGCTTACCTTTAATGACGCGAATGGCCCATCGAGCTTGAGTGTCTCCTGTGGGTAATATGGAGCCCAGGGGTTTGATGATGCCAATAAAGGCCAAGGTTGGCTTTTGCAGATGTGCAGGGAAGATATACTTGTACAGTGACGCTTGGCCATCTTCGACTTTCACTACAGACTCATCAAGGAAGGGAAAAGCTAACGTGTACCCAGTAGCAAAGACAATGATATCGACGGGCTCTTCATTCGGGGCGTTGTGGACATGGTCAAATACAACAGAGTTTTCCCTCACCTCCTTTACGCTTGACCTAATACAAACTTTCCCTGTGATGATACGTCCTGGGAGCTCATCATTTAGCACTGGCTCTCTAAGTTGCATCCTAAATAACAACAACAACAACAAATGGATAGAGAGACATTTGTCAGTGAAAAATATAGCTGGCCATATTTTCTATCCATACTTCCCTTTTAATTCTTTTAATTTAATGCAGACTTTGCTGGACAGAAGCTGCAGGTCTTGGGAGAAGTTACATCTGTGAAAAAGGATTTATGAATGTCCAATGATTATAATATAGGCTCATCATTACCTAGCATTTGGAAGCCCAAGAAGAAGGCAGAGCTTTTTCTGGTTTGCTTCTCTTGCTTTTTCCAGCATTCAGCTGCAACTGTTGCTTTAGAGATAGGAAACTACCAAAAAAATCGCTGGAAGCTCTAGTCAGTTCTCTTTCTTCTTAGCAAAAAGTTTTTGAGGAAAACGCACATGTGTTTTAAAAGAATCAGGACAGAATCATCTTTATCTGGCTGTGTCTTTGGAATTGGAAGGCTAAGGCTTTGGAGATGATTTTATAAAAACCAAGGCATTGTTGGCTTTGAGTTACCCAGATAGAGAGAATGTGGGTAAAGTGGAAACAGCACGGGAGTTTCAGAGAATAAGAGTGGCTTCTTATCTAAATGCTTGAGCTTAACCGAGACTGGGCAAGTCATTGAATCCCATAGGCTTCTGTCCATTCATAAAATATTGGTGATAACACTGATCATCCTTACCTATTTGGGTCAGATGAAGGACATATAAATTGTGTATATTGAAATGATGAAAGACTAAATAAATCCAACACAGATAATAATTATTCAGGCTTATTCCACATGTTCCACAATTTGTGGGATTTAATCAGATTTGAATATAGTTGTACAGACCAGCATTAGACTAGATATCATTCATGTTGTGGAGCTTCTGCACAACTGAATACATGGGGGCTCCTGGAGATGATGTGCTGGCAGACATCAGGACACTCTGCATTCCTCTTCAACACTTCACTCGACACACCTGCTTTAGGACTCTGTCCATGTTTTTGTCTAGAGTGAGTTCTAACACGAGCATTAGGGAATCAGGGTTAGGAGATCCATGCTCATGAACTGACTGGGCTTGTGGGCTTTAATGAGGAAAGTACTATTTTTGGAGAAGAGCTAGAAGCAGTATCCAGCCAGAGAAAAACTGAGATTTGCTGTCTGATAGCTAGTCCATGAGGTCCTGAATGCTGTGGACCATCACCTGAGTTAGTGTGAAAGTTGTTACTCATGAATTGTGCTGTGATGCAACTCGGGGCCTAGGTGGTGTCTCTGCTGCAGCTTGGGAAAGTCCCCAAAGCAGAGAGCTCCATCGAGCTGTGCCTGGGTTCCTAGCTCACAAAAACTGAGATAAAGCTTTTTGTTTTAGGCCACTAAAAAAAGCACCCTATGGGATCAAAAGCACCGATGTCAAAGTCAAAATTCCTGAGGAGTTTGCTGATGAAAGACAGCATTTGAGAAATAAGGAGAGAAAAAGTGGAGATGGTAAAAGCAGGGAAGGAACAAGGAGAAACACAATACATGCAATGGAGTCAAGGCTGCTTGGCATCATCTTTGGCCCGGATTCCTCCTGATTCCTGTTGGCTCAGGGTATAATCCATACCGAGGTCAGACAGGCTCTCCACATGCTGCAGGATCTTCTGGTATGCGATTTCATTGTATAAAATTAATGAATAAAGAAATAAAGCCTTTGGCCCTTCTAGATGGCATAAATCATGGGTTATAAAGGAAAGGACTGGTTGAAATCAAGTTCATCTCAAGAGTGAGAAAACACTACCATTACAGATGGTATACAGCAGGTATAATGTTTGGTTTTTCCCAACACAGTAAGAACAAGGCAATATGTTGCATTTTTCAACAAATCAAAGATAAATCATTAACTTTTGATTATTACAGGTGAGATTTAAATTACTTGGCTAGTCCTAGAGGTCACTGATTACTAAATGAATTTGGTCAAGTGACTGAAAGTCGCTAAATCTCATTTTCCCTGAGATTATACCTATATTTACCATAAAGGGTTGATCACAAGGTGAAACACATAATTTCATGAACTGAACACATAAGAACTCTTGGTTGTTTTCAAGCAAAACAGTAATGTAGATTTGTAATGTAGTTTTGTGATAACAGTAATGTAGTTTGTAGTGAAGAGTAATGGAATTTTACTCTCTGATTGTTTGGCTGTGCTATTGTTTTATTTGCATATGTCACTAGAGATTCTCTCTTCCTAAAAACTCTTAGCAGGTACATTACATTTACCTGTCTTTGGGTGCTAAGCCATAATTTGCATGATTGAACCAGCTGTTCATCTTTCTTGCCACCAACCAATTCACAATTGAAGTTGGGAGAGAATTTCTGATCAGGTTCTGAAATCGTGTCATGAACACCATGTCCCATGGGTATCCTGAGTCAAAGACCCGGCTGATCACCCATGAGCCTCTGGTGGTGCTGAGGAACACCTAGAAACAAGCAAAGATGTTCACACATTGCAAGGCACTGGGAAGCTTGACCCTCATACAATACCTCCTTCATGAGATAGGGTAGTGCTTGTGGTTCTACCATTACATAGTTATTGAATTCATTTGGTAGAGATAAAGACAGAGAGAGAGAGAACTACATCTATTGTTTTACTCCTCAAAGGCCTGTAAGGTCCTGAGATGAGGCCAGGCCAACACCAGGAGTTGAAACCCAAGCCAGGTCCTTGACATAGGTGGCAGTATCCCCTGTCGCTTCCAATGCTGGATTATCAGGAAGTTGGAATCCAGAGTGGAGCCAGGAGTCAGACGTAGGCACGTTAGCATGAGGTGCAGGCATCTAAAGCAGTGGTTTACTCTTTAGACTAAATGGCTGCCACTAACTACTGTTGTAAAGTCATTCTCTTGATGTAATTATTAGGGTACCTGCAGCATTAAAAGTCATCTATTATTGAGCATGTATCATTTACCAGACTTGTTATACTCTGATAAACTATAGGAAGCATAAAGTCTCAAGTGAGAAGACACTGAAGAAGTGATTACAACTATGCACTTATGGAACTTCAAAGAGTTTGTTAAAAATGAAATCAAGATAAGTGTATCTTGTTTAAAAAACATTTTGATATCCGTGTATCACTCCTTTTGAATAACATACATTTTCCATAAACTTTTTGAAGACTTTTGATACTAACTATAAAGCCAATGATGGCGACAGCTAAGGTTTTCTATGAAAATTTCCAAACAAACCATCAGTTAAACCGATAGAAAATTCAATATCGTTTCAATAATGTTAAAAATAAAAATAAAGTAAAAAAACAAACTTTCAATGAAGAAAAAATAATAAGAAATAAAATGAGTTTAGAAATTTTAGTGCATATTATGTACTTATAAAGAATCATTTTCTAAAAATTCATCTGCTGTTATTAGAAAGGCAGATTTACACAGAGAGAGACAAAGAGAAAGATCTTCATCTGCTGGTTAACTCCCCAAAAGGCTGCTATGGATAGAGCTAAGTCGATGTGAAGCCAGCAGCCAGGAGCTTCTTCTGGGTCTCCCGTGTGGGTGTAAGGTCCCAAGAACTTATGCCAGTCTTTGCTATTTTCCCAGGTCATATTCGGGGAGCTAGATGGGAAGTGGAGCAGCCCAAACATGAACCGGTGCCCATGTCAGATCTGGGCACTTGCAAGGGGAGGGTTAGCCAATGGAGCCATCATGCCATGCCCTGACATATTTCAACTTTATTTATTTATTTATTTTTATTTGAAGGCAGAGAGTGAGAGAGGAACAAGGACACCCATCTGATAATGCTGACAACGGGTGGTTTGGTCCGGCTGAACTTGGGAAACACATTACAGGTCTCCCACGTGGGTAGTAGTAGGAATACAACCAGAGAGTTCAGTGTCAGGAAGCCAGGATTGAGCACAGGCCCTGTGACATAGGACATGGGTGTCCCACCTGACAGCTAAACCACCTGACAACCCCCCCCCTTCAAATAGATGGTATGACTGTTTGAGTTTGACACTTAGTTAACAGAGTTCACTAACAGCTGTTTCGATATCTGCAAAATGAGTAAAAAGGAGTTTCTTGTTTAAAAAAAAAATGGCCAATTTGTTTCTTTCCTGATACAAGCAACTGATTTAATAGCCTTCTCACCCTTGGTCAAATTTGGATGTGATGGCTTCTGTTTGAGTGTCACCATTCATTCTTGATATATGGTTCATTTAAATTTATAACCTAATGGAGCAATAATATATATGAAGATTTTTAAGAAGCTACACCTCATGGGAGATGTAATTCAAAAACAAATTTACTGGGACTAATATTGTAGTACAATGGGTTAAATCTCTGCTTCCAATACTGATAGGCCCCATCAGGAATCTGGTTTGAAACTTTGCAGTTTTCTTTCCAACCTAGCTTCTTGTTAAGGTGCCTGGGAGGGCAGAGGATGAAGACCCAAGTGCTTAAGCCCCAGTTACCCATGTGGGAGCTCTGAATACAGTTCTTGGCTACTGGTCAAACCTGACTGTTGAGTCCATTTAGAAAGTAAACCGGCAGATGGAAGATCTGTCTCTACTTTCCCTTTTCTTTCTGTGTATCTGCCTTTCACAAAAATAAACACACCTTTAAAATAAAAGTTAATTATTTATAAAATAAGTGCAAATATTTTTAAACCAATGTGTCATATTTTTCATAATATGCATATTCCACGATTTTTTATTTCTTGTTTACATTAGGGGCGATGCAGCGGTATAAATGGGCTTATCTTCTGTCTGTTACTGCTGGAGTCCCATATGGCTGTGCCCCAGTTGCTCCACTTCTGATGCAGGTTCAAGTATATGGCCTGAGAAGGCAGCGGAGAATGGCCCAAGTCCTTGGGCTGCTGTGTCTGTGTGGGAGAACAAGAAGTCCTGGCTCCCAGCTTTGGATTAGTGCATCTCTGGTAATTATGGATTTAATGAGTGAATCAATCAATGAAAAACCTCTCTCTCTGTAAAATTTCTCTTTCAAATAAAAGTTAATGAATCTTTTAACAAATATTTATTTTTAAAAGGTTACTTTTTATTTGAGGGCAGTTGAGAGAGAGAGAGAGAGAGGTATCTTCCATCAGCTGGTTCACTAGCCAGGAGCCTGGAGCTTTTCCCAGGTGTCCCGTAGGTACACCTGAAACACCTGGGCTTTCCTCTGCTTTCCCAGTCATAAACTGGATTGGAGAAAGAGCAGCCAGGACTTGAACTGATGCCCATATGAGATGTCAGACACCATATGCAAATATTTAATCTAGTATGCCAGGTGCCAGCCCTCAATGAACATTTTAAAGGTTTCTTACACATATAGATTTTAAAATGTATTACACTGAAATAGAACTTATCTTGAGATTCCTTTTTCCATGAAAGTATTTAGCCTTGGATAGATAACACCAGGCACTTAGTGGCAAGAACTAATGATATATTCTCTGACCTAAGACATTTACACTGAATCTGACTTTTTATATCTCAACACAGGATTGAATGTGACAAATGGTGATATGAACTGTTTTTAAGCCAAAAACTCTTTCTTTGTTAGTACAAAAATGGTGAAAAGTTATGCCCAAGCGTATTTCCTATTTCAAGGAATTTCTAGACGATTAAAGAAATTGGAATAATTGTATCTCTATGTGGTTGTCACAATCGATGGACCAGTGTTAATTTCAGTATAATGATGCCAATTTGGCAAGTTTTATCAACCAACCAATCAGTGAATCGGTCATTAAGTTCTTTTTCAAAAGTCATTGGAAAGAATTTTGAGTTTTATACTCCCAACTCTGTCCATGCACAGGATTGGGAGTACAATTAATGGTTTCGTTATTTGCAGTTATTTATCTATTGTTTTTGATTTTCCCACAACTATACACTCTGTGACAATTAGGGGCTTTCTGCTACTCTTGTGTCGGACAGTATATTCTCAGGGCCTGGCACCGTGTCTCCTCATTGGAAGCCACAAATTGATTCCTATTGGTTGGATGACTCTCAGTGAAGTTGCATCACAGTTGGGGAAAAGATAGGTACTACAAAAGGTAATTTAAAACATTTAGGAGTAAAAGTATCAACTGAGGACTGTAAACTGCAGTACTGCTTAAATCCTGTAGAGGGAGAGATCAGTGTGTGGTTAGGTGGAACAGCTGGGATGTAAATATAGAGGATAAAGAAGGTCAGGGGTTGTGGCAGTGAAGATGGTGGCATGAGCAAGGGGGAAACAGCCTTGGTAATAAGCAGAGGCCAGGAAGTGGTGCTGCCTGGCTGCAATAGATGACTGTGTGGGTGGTGGCATAAGAGTTGAAATGTACACAACGGATTTGGACCATAGTAGGAGAACATTATGATACCAAGTGAACATATTTGCACTTTTTATGCTGTCATGAGAGCAGGCTATTTGGGGGATGCACGTGTTGGTGGTGGGAAGTCTGGATGGTCTGTGTGTGGGGTGGGGAAGATGGACTGAAGGTAGGGGTGCATGGACACAAGGCAGAGTCAGGTGCGTTTGCTTTGAGACAAAGAGGAATGGCCATGAACTTGCTAGTGGTCTGAGTCTTGGCAGATTGCTTGATTTTGATAAACATTAATCTGTTCATCTGTACTCAGTGATACTCATTAGTACCTCTGTTAGCAGCTTGTCTTGATGAAATAATGCAGTAAAAAAATCAGTGTAGTAGAAAGTATTTGGTGCAATGTTTGACACAGAGTGGTCCCTATAAATACTGACTATTTCTACATGATTGGTAGAGGGACAACACATTTACATCAGTGTGAAGTGGCAACTAAAAGAGAAGGTAAAGGCAGATGGGAGACCAGAGAAGGAAAAACAGCTAAAATTTTCTGACTTGTGACTGAGTAAAGAAAAAAAAATGTGTGGTAAAATCTGGGGGAATATGGAAAATGGGTGGTTCGAAAAATGGCAAAAATAAGGAATAAGATAGTTGACTTGGGAGAAAAGATACCAATGGACTTCGCACTAAAGTTTACGAACAGTCAATAACACCGATTTTTCAAACAACGCTCTGTTGAGTATTTTAGTTCTTTTGACATTCGTCATGTTGTCAAACATTGCTTACTGAAAACACACATCCCAAAATGAAACTCCTCATGAAGTGACAACAAGATTTGTACCTTTTTTGCCACGTGACTGGCCTCTACAGCAATGTCAGTACCAGAATTTCCCATTCCAACCACAAGCACTCTCTTGTCCTTAAATATATCTGGATGTTTATACTGTCGACTGTGAAAGTATTGACCTTTAAAGGTGTTTATACCTATAGGAAGAAAAGACAAATCAAATGGAAAATTTGAAAGATCAGTGAGTGAAACATAAACATAAACATATTTCCGCTGGCAGAAGCTTTTTGCCAGACGATTTAAGTTGTATTTATTAGCATTCTTCTGTTTTAGGAAACCTGCAGTCTGATCTGGATGAATGACCTTACAACACATTGGAAGAGGATTATTTACTTACTATACACAATCACTCCATCTCACTAGCAGCACTCTGTTTTTTCTTACTAGATGATTAAATAAAGTTAAAGGAGTTTATCATTTAAAGATTGATGGAAGTCAGTGGACAATAATATTCAATTTGTTAGTAGTTGACTTAGGTGTGGCTTTTTATAAACATGGAATAAATCCAATCTTCATTCTTTCATTTCAAGCATATACTTTGCACAGTGTTCAACATCTTATTGTCCGGAGAAGTTCAACAGTTTCTTGGGCAGACCACCTCTGGTCTGAAGGCAGAGCTGGCAGAATATCATCCCGACCAATTAAAAGCCACAACATAACATCAACTACTGTTTACAACCTTATGGAGTTAAATGACATGGTATTGAGTGACCAATATGTTCGAAAATGCAAGTTCTTAACCACATCCTGTGATTACTTCATTGACATTTCAATTTTAGTTTATATACTACCGGCTTCTATACACCTTATGGCTATAGGGTACTATTCAGCTGGCTCGTGTCTATTTTCCCCAGAGCCTATGAAACTGGGTTATACAATCAAATGTAATAATAAAAAAAAAAATGGCAGAGAAAAAAATGGAATAAAAAGCCAGAGAGAACTTGGAGCTACAGAATTTGCATGATTAGCTCTTTGGATATCAGCTCTGTATCTGGCACCATTAGAAGCAGGAGATATGATATATCATCTCGATTCACAATGGTCCAAGTCAGTTGGGCAAGTTCACTGGTACTTTACCTTGATGACTCATTGTAACTCAGGCTCATTTTGCTGAGTCAGCCAAAGATAGCTCAGAGGAAAAGGATCAATTAATTTTCTTACATCAGGTCAACATATACTGGGAGAACTCAGTATCTCAGGTGATTGGTGTCAAATCTCATGGAAATATCTAATGTAAACAATGAATTAAAAAAGAATATCTCAGGGGAATTTTACATAATCAGAAGTCACATACGCTGAAAGAAGAACCTGTCCCTTCTAGAAAAAAATGTGGTAAGACATCTAAACTCCCAAGGGATGAATGTTTGTGGAAGATTGCCTCCTTAAGGCCTTGTGTCATTAGAAACCTTCCATGAAAACTGGTTAAAACCCAAGCAAAACCCAGGAGATTTGGAACTTAGCAAAGATACAACCAGGCTCAAATATTAGCTCAGCATGGAAAAGGAAAGCAGAAAAAGCCTAGAGAGAATCATGGGATCAGATTATTTTGGTGATAAATGGACACAGGTTAGACTTTGTGTGGCTGAGTCACATAAACCGATACTTACCATCTCACAGAGGACAGAACTGAAAAAGCACACGCGTGAATGGTGGCTGAATAAAAGCGGTCCTCAGGGAGAAATTGATTCTTTTTAAAATTTTATTGTATTTACTTTTATTTTATTATTTTTAAATAAAATAAATATTTTATTAAGTTATTTTATAGCTTTTATTACAAAGGCAAAGTTGTTATAGACCCATGTGGGCCTCTGAGTAGGGCAGACAGAATTGGGATGTAGGGATGGTGGGTGAGACAAATATTTCATTCTTTTCTCCTGTGTTTACAGATGAGGGAGGGGAGGTGTGCTGCTCCTTGCAATCACACCTATAAGGAGGCCCCAGTATGCGGACAATGTCCTGAGGGTGTTACTTGAGTGGTTGTAATTGTTCTGAGAGGATGTTGGTGTTGTTACACCAAAGGTACAAAATTCTGCTTAAAGCCTATTGGCTGTCCCTGTCTACCTCAGTGTGTCTACAGATCTAGATGTCTGCTATAGAGCCTGTCCTGGAGTGTTGTTCAAATTGCGCTTCTTTCTGTCTTTTGATGAGGTACCCAAAGTATTCTGTTGGCTAGGATGAAGTAGCTCTCTCGTCTTTTGTGTTCATTTGGACATGTTCTCCATTCTTTCATGAGGGTCAGTAACTGAGGTGGCCTAGTCCTGCAACATGTGCTCCGGGATCAGAAGACGTGACTATGATTTTCCCTGACGTCAGGGACTGAGTGTAGTGGTCTAGTTGGAAAGCCCCTAAAAGACCTCACCTGGCAGGTCTTCAGACCCTGCTGTCACATGTGCCAGCTGGTGCAGGGTCAGGTTCAGTCTGCACCACCAGGTACTGTAACCTAGCCTGGTCTGGTCCACCCCAAGTCCTGGCTCTAGGTAGAGGTGCAGGCTGGTGCTTTGGCAAGACCCAGAGATGCCCCCTGGAATCATGCTTTTGATCCATTCCATCTCCGGTTCCCTTAATTACCTGCAGGTGTAGTGGCCTGGTCTATGGAAGATCCCATAAGAGATTTTTTTTGTATGTCAAACAAGCCCTCAGTGGCTCCCATTGTTCTGACCCATCATTGGTTCCCCAGCTCGTACAAATGCATGGCCACTCTCATGCACTCATGGTTGCAGCAATGGCAGTGAGATGACACCAGCTAGTGAGTGCCCATGGTAGCAGAGTAGCCACTCTGCCCATTTGCTTTAAGATCTTCAAAAAATAAAGAAAAAAAACAGAGTAGGCAACTATGCTGGCACACTGGTCTAGTTAACATGGAGCTGGCATTAACCAGGCCCAGAATGCCAGGCAGCTGTTGGCTGCGTTTTTCCCAGCAGCGTAACACTTGCCTAGGTACAGGGCAACCTAGGAGGCTTATAATTGGGATGGAGGGAAATTAATTCTAACTGTGATTTCTAGATTTGCTTTCTTTATCTGAAGGTTCGAGTTCAAGAGAGTCAGAAGGAGGTTGACACAGAGAGAAATAGGAAGATCAAGAGAGAGACTCTCCGTTTGCTGGTTCCCTTTCCAAATGGCTACAGTGACAGGTGGGCCAGTCTGAAGCCAGGGACTGGGAGCGTCTTTCAAATCTCCCATGTGGGTGCAGGGACCAAGACCTGGGCCATCTTCCATATTAGCAGCGAGATGGATTGGAAGGGAAGCTGCTAGGACTCGCATTGGTACCCCTATGAGAGCTAGCACCACATGTGGCAGCTTTAACCACTACAACATAGTGCTTGCCTGCTGTAATTTTTACTAAGACTTTTTGGACCTTATCCTTTGTAAATATTTGCACAATTTGTAATGCATTTTTTAAATATCTTTATTGAATTTCAAATTTTGTAATATTCAGTAACCACTCCAGGGAATATGGCAGACTGATCAACTGCTATAAGAGAGAGTGGGTAGACTCCATTGCAAGCCTAGCATCACAGAATTCTGAATCACAAAATTTCACAGTTCAAAGGCTCCTTAGCATCATTGAGGCAGGGATTTTAAGTTGACAGTTGCTGATAGATAAGAAGAGCTACAAGTTTTATAGAACGTTCCTGACTTGATTGGGGATTATTTGTGGTTGGGTATGGTTTTTCAAACTTCTCAGGTTATGGGTGAAAAATAGAAGCTTAGAAGAGTAAAACAGGAAGCTTATGGTTATAGGCCAGTGAGTTGTCCAGACAAGAATTTGTACCTCTTGAATAAAATTCTATCCACACTGTTACACTTTGACTCAGTTAATTTCATTCTTTGCTCTTGTGTTCATCTTTAATTTGGCATGACTTTTGGTGTGACTTCAGCACCATGCAAGCTTTTCATGTTCACCCCAGGCCCTAAAAGGATTGCAGCTCTTTCCCTGAACTCTTAGGAAATTCTGTTCTTTTCTCCAATGCAAGTTACACATTCTTGTATCCATTTTGATATACTTGGAACCTTGCGCAGTATGCTTTGGTGTTGAATACATGCAATTTACTCTATTAGCCTTAAGAACTTTCTGGACCCTTGGATAAGTGTGTTTTCATAAGATATTCCTTCCAGAGAGTTTGGGATGATTCATCGGGGACTTGGTCTACAGGCAGAAACTGAAAAAAGGGTTGTGTGGTCTTGGTTGGAATGATGAAAGTGAGTCTCTTTGAATGTGTTCTAGTGGAGGATGTTGAGCCTCTCTCGGGGATACTGGAAGAACAATGTCCTGTACTGAGAAGAAGACAACACTTTTTTCTAATTAAATGATCCCTTAATGAGGCAATTTTCAAAGTGTGCTTTATCCTGGTGTGACCTAACTTGAGTCGTCTCTGGGATGGATTCTGGGACACAGGAGAACATGGGATCAGGCTAGGTCATATCTAGATGATGTAGAGAGAATTTCCCCACGCTTTTACCTTTTGGGATGATCATTACAGCTTAAATAAATCAATCCATTGTACTGCCTCTGAACTGAAATTCAATTGAAAGCTGACTTAGATGAACATGAATCATGGTTGCAAAGGTAAGATAAAGGAACTGATACCTAAACACATGCACCTTGTCTAGTAAGATTCATCTTCGGGTGTCAGCATTGTGGCGCTATCACCACCTGCTATGCCAGCATCCTGTATGAGGGCCATGGCGTTCAAGTCATGACTGCTCCATTTTCGAATTATTTCCATGCTAGTGTGCCTGGGAAGGTAGCAGACCATGACCAAAGTGCTTAAACCCCTGACGGGCAAGTGAGAGATCTGGATGAAGTTGCAGGCTTCTGGCTTAGGCCTAGCCCAGCCCAGGCTGTCTCAGTCAATTGAAAGTAAGCTAGTTCTGCTCACTATTTCTACAACTTTCTATAACTCTGCCTTCCAAATAAATAAATAAATCTTTTTTTAAAAAATCATCTCCCGGGCCCGGCAAGGTGGCGCAAGTGGTTAAGGTCCTCACCCTGCATGCCCTGGATCCCATATGGGCGCCGGTTCTATCCCGGCGGCCCTGCTTCCCTTCCAGCTCCCTGCCTGTGGCCCCGGAAAGCAGTCAAGGATGGCCCAAAGCTTTGGGAACCTGCACCCGTGTGGGAGACCTGGAAGAGTCTCCTGGCTTCGGATCGGCATGCTGTTGTGCTCACTTGGGGAGTGAATCAATGGACGGAAGATCTTCCTCTCTGTCTCTCCTCTGTATATCTGCCTTTCCAATAAAAAAAATAATAAAAATAAATCTTTAAAAAAAAAATCATCTCCCTTTGACTGTTGAGCTGGTACCATAAACCTCTGATCTAGCTGACTGGTACGGCTTATATAAAATTTAAAAATACATATAGGACCCAATTAAATTTATCAACCTTTGTGGCTTTTGAATTTCACTTTGGCAATGTACTTTGGTCAATTTGGTCAGCAACTTGTTTAAGAAATTCATGCTTTGATATAATTTCTGAGTGCTGTCAGTCACTCATGGAGGGCCACTGGTCTTCAGTGAAGTGTTAAGACTGCTTCTTAAATTATCCATTTTATCCTTCTTGCTTCATAGTTTGTTTGAAAGCACAAGACCAGCCAGAAAGTGCAGGTAAAGGAAAAACCGTTACCTTGTAACTTAAACAGCTTAGCAAAGGATTAACATGTTGTCAGGCTTATCAAGCATCAGGATGGTGCTAGAGAGGAAAGTTAAGGTCAATAGCAGAGAATACCCTACCTGGAAAGCAATCCAATGGCAGATAAGGATTCGTAAGATAACCAACACACACCATGACAGCATCAAAGACAGCCTGTTCTTGCTTCCCTTCATGCAGAGTCACCACTTCCCACTGGCCAGATCTATCAAAATCCTGACATTTTGCTATACTGCAGACTTTGGTCTAAAAAAAAAAAAAAGAAATCAAGGATGGTTAATATTTTTCAAAGTTCCATTAAGGGTTTCTGTGGTAATTGACATCTCAAAGCTCCTGGTGCAAACTCAACATGGTTAATAAGTACAACCCTAGTAACCTCTTCAGGCTATCATAATAGTCACAGTTTCCTGGATTGAAGAATTTGAACCTTGGAATTCTGGAGGGGTATTTAAGAGTGAATTGAAAGATTTTAAGGATTTTGCTTAAATTCTCACAGCAGGTGAGAACCAAGGTTGCAATTTTTAGTTCTTATACATGTTCTTGACAGTGCAGAAATGGGGACATTAAAACTAAACAGAATTATAAATCTAGAAGGTAGTTAATATGCCCGTGTTTCCAAAAAATTGATTGTACACGGTCAGTTTGGTGTTCTTATACGATGCATGGTTTTTAACTGAAGGAACCAGTTGGAATAACTCAGTTCTAACCCAAACTTGACAAACTTAAACAACAATGCAAAACCTTTCAGTATTGTTTCAGTCAAGCAATATTGGAATACAAGAACCAAGTACACTGTGATGTGGCACCGATATATCATTGCTCAAAGTCCAAGAGAAGTCCTCTTCTCTAACAGGTCAAGAGACTAATAGTTAAAAACCTCAGCAGGTCTTGTCCGCCATATGCAGAAAAACAGGGTTGCAGTTTAGAGCCTCGGGCAGTTTATCTGTCACAGTGTTATAAATTTGTCATGCCTGATACTGCACATTTCTATGAATGTGTATCTTGTGCAATTGTTTCAAGTAAGCCAAAGACTTTATAATTTTTAAAGACCCACTATTTTTTTTACTAATAACATATAGCCTCCTTTTTCTCTGCAGTGATAGTTTTAATTTCTTTCTTGTTGTCCAACATAAGGTACCAAATATGATGTTATACACTGTTTTGAAAAGAAAACGAAAGTGTTATTGATGTTTGTTGTGTTGGTTTCAGCATCTTTGCCTTTTGTAAACATAGCTTTCAGTAATTTAAAATCCCACAAAGCAAAATTGATTTTAATTGTACATATAATAAATGCATATTGTTGGCGATTTGGTATGTATATAAAAGAATGTGAAATAAAATTCACAAAAGTTAAATCAGAAACCATCTCCCAAACACAGTTGCTTGTCTGTACTTAAGCACAAACTTTTACTGAGATGTGATTATCTGCACTTCCTTAACACTGATGGGCATCTGGTTTCTAAAGTTTTACTTACTTGGTGGAGTGCGAGAGAGACAGCTACATTCCATTGGCTCCTTCTCTAAATGTCTGTCCTGGTTGTCACTGGGCAAGGCTGGAACTTGGTTCTCCCCCATGGGTGACAGCGACTCAGCTGCCTGAGTCATCATCTGCCACTTTCCAGAATGTGCATCAACAGGAAGTGAATTGGAAATGAAGCCAAGACCCAACCCAGGCACTGCAAAGTAGGATGAAGTTGTACGAGGTGATATCTTCATTGTTGAAGCACAGGTCCACTCAATTATCTGATGCTTGTTTGTCTTTTTTTTTTAAACATAGATTTATTTATTTATTTATTTGTAAGTCAGAGTAACAGAAAGGGTGAGACCCTCTGTCCCTTGGTTCACTATCCAAGTGGCCATGATGGCCAGGCAAGGATCAGGAAGTTGCCATTAGCAGTTTTATCTTGGTTTCTCACATTGGATGGCAGAGTTCCCACATCTTAGGCCATCTTCTGCTGCTTATCCCAGGGTATCTGTCGGAAGCTGGATAAGAAGTGACACTGCCAGGAAATGAACCAAAGCCCACGTGGGAGGTTGGCAGCACAGGCTGTGGCTTTACATTGCTATGCCACAATACTAATCTCAATAGGTATTTAAAAAAATGTGATGGAGCCAGAGCTGTGGTATAGTAGGCTGAGCCTCCACCTGCAGCACCAGCATCCTATAAGGTCATGAGTTCATATCCCGGCTGTTCTACTTCCTATCCAGCTCCCTGTTTTTGGCCTGGAAAAGCAGTGGGGAATGATCCAAGTTCTGGGACCTCTACACTCGTGTTCAAGATGTTGAGGAAACTAATGGCTGCTTGCTCTGGATCAGCTCGGTTCGAGCCACTTAGCCATTTGGAGAGTGAATCAGTGGATACAAGGTCTTTCTGTTTCTGTAAGTTTGTCTTTAATAATAATAATAATAAATTGTAAAGTAGGTTTGGGAAAGAAAGCAAAGAAAGTGCTTCCGATTTAGTCTTTCTTATGGGTCTTTAAAAATTATTTTTACCTGTATTTTATATGATGATACACTATTTATATCCTGTTACTAGCAAATTGAGGGAGTAGGATGAACTCTTCCTTAGAACTCTGTCTACAAGGACTTAACTGGTTGTGTGAATGTGACTCTTACTGACTGTTCTGGGCAACATCACCATTCATATTGTTTTCTTGGTGTGATTTTTTTCCAGACATTTTCCTCTACGCCTAGCCCTGGAACATAGTAGAATGGCAATGCATTATTTTTCATAGGTTTTGTGTTGTTGTTGTTTGAAAGAAAACCAAAGGAGGAAGAAAGAAAGAAAAGGAAAAGGAGATATTCATTTATCTGTTTCCCCTTTCTCTTGTTCCAGCGTCTGAGATAGGAGAGAAAGAATGAAAGAGAGAGTACCCAGGGGGGCTGGTGGGAGTTCTCCATGTCCATGCATATGGGTGTTTGGTCCAAGTGAAAAGTATGCTTTGATATATTACAGGTCTCTTAGGTTAAGCGTATGTCAGAATTTTCAATTTAAAATATTCACATATGCATCTTCACACAAAATAGTCACCTCTTCCTCAAGATTCACCTGGGTATGTGTGTCTGTGTGTATGTGTGTTGGTGAAGTGAAAACAAGACGAAAAAGAATCTAGCCAGGGGTCTGTGACTTTGTCAGTTCAGTCTCTCATCTGTAGGAGAGGAAGGTAATGGAAAAATGTGTAGGACAATATTTCTTGAATGCTAACTGATGAATTTTGGTCTTACCTTGAATTGGATGCATTTCAGAAGGTTAAATCGATTTGCATACATTTTGAGATAGTCCAGGAATTGCAAATTCGGCACATAGTTTGGGCAATCTTCTGGGAATGGAAAATCTGGGTAACAAGACATCTCCTTGCAGCTGTTGGAGACCACGGATTTGTACAGACTGGCTCTGCCTTCTTCAACATGATCCTGTGAAACAGGGCACACAGATGAGTACACCTGCACACTCAAGCATGCACAGACACAATGGAAGTACAAACACTGTGGCCAGCATTATGGCTTTGTGGACAAGGTCATCCCTGAAACACTGGCATCCCATATGGGTGCTGGTGCGTGTCCTGGCTGCTCTGCTCCCAATCCAGCTCCCTGCACATGATCTGGGAAAAGCAGTGGAAGACAGCAGAAGTTCTTGGGCCTGTGCCATTTATGTGGGAGACCTAGAAGCTCCTGTTTCCTGGCTTTGGCCTAACCTAGATTTAGTAGTTATGACTCTGGGGAGTGAAGCAACGGGTAAAAGATTCTCTCTCTCTCTGTCTCCCTGTATGTCTCCCTCTCTCTCTGTCTCCCTGTATGTGTATCTGTGCCTGTCTCTGTCTCTCTCTGTTGCCTCCCTTTTCTCTGTAACTCTTTCAAATAAATTAATCTTAAAAAAGAAGAAATTTCAAACATTGACCAAGTTTATAGTGATCCAGATGATATATTTACTGCCTTTTTTCTCCTGTGAAGGTGAAGTTTTTATCTTTTTTTTTTTAAAGTCTTTATTTTAAAGAGGAGAGAAAGAGAAATGGTGCTCAATGGGTGGATTACCTCCAGATGCACAGGGCAGCCTGGGGTGCACTAGTCAGTGGTGGAATATTGAAATCTAATCCAGAGCTCCTCCATGCTAGCAGCGACTCAACTGATTGAGTCATGACCTGCTGCTCCCAGGGCCACAGCATCAGGTTGAAATTTGGAGATCTGGGATTCAACGTCAGGCACCCGCAGCATCTGAACCACTGCACAAAACACCTGCTCCAACCTGCTACCTTTCTATGGGATGTATTCTTTTTCACTTGGGAGACAATGAACACCAGCCACACACACACTGTTTGACAGAGGCAATTACGACACAAGATTCATATAAATGTCCAAACTATTTTAAGTACTGTGCAGTTGTGTTTAAAGCAGAGTACTGGGATTCATGCAACTGAGCAAACAAGACAACCAGGTATTTGAGGAACTCCTCAAGCAAATCAGCAAATAAAAACAGAGAGAAACAAGAGGATTCTCATATTCAAGTTGTTTCCTCACATAGATAACCACAAAACCATCTGTTTTTGTGAAACTTAGAAAACTGAAAAGTCAGGAAGAAGAACAGCTTCCAGGAAACCCTACTGTGAAATAATGGACCGCAGATGTAAACAGAAAAGCTAGCTTGGAGGGGTTATGCAGTTCTAAGGGAGGAACTCAAAACAAACTCTTGCCTGATTTATTTCCACAGATTGCTTCTCCAGGAGAAAGACAAGGTCTGGAGCAGTAAGCGTTCACATAGAAAGCATGGTTCCGCAACACTTCCAAGGACTCCTGTGGGTCCTGGGCCTCTGCTCCAGTGGATGATCTGCCCAGCCACCCTCACGCCCCTCTGGACCTCTCCACCCATTCCTGGAAAATGTGGGTGCACCCCAAGGAGGGTGGAGAGGCTAGGGAGTGTATTCTAAGGATGTGAAGAAGGAAGCAGAAGCTGTCCTCCCCGCACAGTGTGGAGACTCACTTAGGGAGGATAACAGGGTGGCCTTACCTGAAACCTTCATTAATGCTCATTTACATACTGAAGGCCATAGACATTATACGAAGTTTCAGTGACAAGATAATTCTGCAGATGTTTCTTCAAGTGAGATCATCAAACCACAATGTGGGTGTCCAAAGCCTTCCTTTTCTCTCTGGAATCTAAGACGTTGTATTGGGCACAGGTGTTCCCTTGAGTCAGTGCACCTATTCCATATCTGCTGTTTTCTTCGCTGGCCCAGGGTACAGTGACCTTTCTTTTGCATCACAAACTTGGCTTGCACTTTCCTTAAGGGTGTGATAGCAGGCAGAGTCATGATCTTGGTAGTCCAATTAAATACAACAACTTAAAATCTCTGTAATCGGGAGGCCCTCTGTCTTGTTTAGAAACGAAACTGTCTCCAGGTGTGTTTTATTGGCTTTCTGCAGCTTCTCTTGATTTTTGCACTGTGTCCCCTTCCTGCTATAATTCGTATTAAGCTTCTCACAGTTGTGTGTACACTGTCAAGCGAGCATAGATGTTGCCAAAGCAGATTTTTAAACTCAAAAGCCTTCGTGAAAGACTACTGTGACTGTGCAGACACTGCTAACAATCTTTTGTGTGTGTGTGTGTGTGTGTTGCAAAAGAATGTCTGCAGAAAGATTCAGGAAGCTTCTGGCATGCTAGAGCCAGAAGGCACCTTCTGGGTTACTCATTGGAGGTTTTTCCATCAGATTCTAAAGGAATCTCAAAGTATCAGAGAGGTGAGTAAAGAGGCCGCTGTGCTGAGGGAGTGGTGCTGAGTGGCAGTGGGGTGATCATTTCCATTTCCTAGCCCCCCTTAGTAACGCATCCTCTACGTGAATACTTCAGAAAGTTCATTGAAAATAAAATTTAAAAAAAAACAAACAACCCTGTTTTTGCTGCAAAAACAGTTTGAAACCTGATACACGAAGAGTCTTTTAAATGTTCATAGGAAATGCGTGCTATAAAAAAAAAAAGCTCCCTAAGTTTCAAAAACATTTTTTGTCCCCAAATCAACAGTTCTTTTAATTCTATTTCCTGTGATTTGCTTCAAGTGCCCTTTAATTGGGTCCATGTTTCTATTTTATCAATGGGGCAACAGAGATGGAACGACTGGTTGATTGGGTGTCATTTGCCTTGATCACTGCCGGAGAGTCCTCTTTAGGCATTTTGACAAATTCCCATGGCGTTTTTTTGAAGTTCATTCCAATTTTTCCAATTCTCTAATTGTATCCGTCTGTACCCTCTTCACCCTGCACAGTTGTCATATTGTTTTTGAAATAATTGGGGCATCTTGTTAGTAGCCTCTTCTCTCCTCTCTACCTGAAAGTTTTCTAGTGGATTCTCCTCCAGTATAGGGTAGGTGTGCCTCTGGTCTTCCTTACTTTCTGGGGCTCACTCTTCCACTTGTGTCTACAATTCCATATTTCCCTTTTATAACTGTCAGGATCTTGTTCCAGTTTTTAGTCTTCAGTTCCACTTCTTGCTTTGATTGAAACTACTTTAACTACTGTAAGTTACATTATTCTTTGGGAAGTATCATCCTCCAAGTCCATGCTCAACTGATGGATTCGTTGTGCTTGATTAGAATACAATGTTAATAGGGATCACGAGAGTTACTAAGGAAAAAGCATTAAGCTTTATTTGTAATGTCTTCAAATGTCCTGACATAGGAGAGAGTTCTGGTTTATTTTAACAGAACTCTAGTTTGCTAAATATATACATATATAGTTTGTCCAAATCTATACATCAAACTTTTTCAAATTTATCTGAGTGCCTGGTGAGATAGCCTAATGCTAAACCCTTGCCTTGCCTGTGCCAGGATCCCAGATGGGTGCCAGTTCATGTCCTGGCTGTTCCACTTCCCATCCAGCTCCCTGTGTGTGGCCTGGGAAAGGAGGATAAGATGGGTCAAAGCCTTGGGACCCTGCACTGGTGTGGGAGACCTGGAAGAAGCTCCTGGCTTAGGAATATCTCCGCTCTGGCAATTGTAGTCACTTGAGGAATGAACAAGTAGATGAAAGAGCTTTCTCTCTCTTGCTCTCTGCAAAATCTGAATTTCTAATAAAAATAAAAGAAATCTTTCAAAAACTAAATTATTTGAAAGGTGAGGAAAAGGGGTTGGATGGAGAAAGAAGGGAAGAGGAGAAGGGAAAGAAAGAGAGAGGCAAGCAGTTTTCTGGTTACTCCACAGATATCTGCAAGAGCTGGAGTTGTGTCGAAAGTGTTGCTGTGAGCCATGAACTCAGTGCAGCCTCCCATGGGGCGGGAGGAGCCCAATTACTGGAGCTGTAACCACTGCCTCCCAGGAACTGCGTTAGTTGCAAGTGGAATCACCAGTGTAAGACAGGTGCTGAACCTGCGCATGCTGATATGGGACATGGTGTCTTAACCACTGACCTTGCACTTTGAATCGTGGGAATAGATGTGCTCGTTTCTCCAGTGTGCTTTAGAAAGTATCCATGCATTCATGGTCATAGTTTGTGGCCATAGTTTGTAATGCCAGCTGCCCTGTGTTGGAGGCTTGTCAATAAACTTGCAACTTCAGTCCCTCTGAAGTTTTGCCCAATGGGTTAGAAAATTACTTTGTTCCAGTTCCAAAATCCTACCCTTTTGCATTGGGAAATGCTGTGTCTTTCCTGAAACCCCTTGGAGGACCTGAAATCGGGCTGGGTAGATGCCTTTCTCCCCTCACTCTTGCTGATGGATGTATTACTAGCACATTTAAAGTTCATGTGAAACGTTTTTTGCCTTAAAGAAAGAAAAAATAGGAGTTTTGGGGAAAACTGAGAAAAATGCTTTCAGGCTGAGCTATGATGCTCATTGACCCTCTCTGACTTCAGGGTCCTCACAGCCCCAAGCAGGGCCTTGTAATCCCCTGGGCCCCAGGCCAGCCAAGGCCAAGGCTGTGGCGTGTCCCATCTTTGTGTTTCATTCTTTTAGTTCCATTTCCAACCCTGGCTATTGCCCTGCTGAAGTTTGAGAATATTACTCCTCACTGGGGGGAGGAAGAGAGAAGACTTGGAATGTTACTGCTCAAGGGAGGGAAAAGAGGTTGGAATTCACACCCTTTGCTTTGGTTGTTCTTGGCATGGACTGGGATAGCCCAGGCAGCAGGACTTAGCTTATAGAACTCAGCTTGCCCTGAGACTCACGTTGCTGTAATGGATGGCATAGTGCTGAGTAAGGTGCGAGTAAACATAAGCCAGCCTCATATGCAGAGGCTGCACTCCTTGCTTTTGTCCCTGATATTGCAGCCCCTCTTCTTGCCTCCAACTCTATTTCTAGTTTTGCTGCCCTGCCCCTGGGCTTGGCTAGCCTGTTCCAAGCAACCCATTTGTTCCTCCTGGTCCTGGATGAAGTTCTGCCAGGCGGTCTCCCACCTGTGTGCAGCACAGGTCCTTGCTTTTATGGTTAAGGTGGTCTGCCTTGGCTTGGCCAACCCTTCCAAGCATCCAGGCCTTGTGGAAGAAACACAGTCATCTTTTCGTACCAGGCAAGCAGTTCCCCTATAGACAATTACCTCTGTGGAAACCCCACTCACCGTGAATCTCCACAGTCCCCCAATGTCATCACTCCTCTCAAAGCAGGTGGGCTCCAGGCCTTCCTCCAAACAGCACTTGATGGAGGCCAGGCCAGCCACTCCAGCTCCCACAATGGCGACGCGCTTGACCATGTCGTTCTGTGTAGGCAAAAGAAGAAGCAGAGTTTCTTATTCACAAGAGCACCACTCTAGCTTTGGCTGCTCTGACAATCCAGTAAAAGAGTTGGGGAAATGAAGAGATCTGTTCAGTCCGATTCCTCTGCACTGCGTCTCAGGCGTGTGCATGTGAACAGGGAAATGTTCCGGGCACTGCTTTAAACCCCATGCTTGGCATGTTCCCACCCCTCTTGGGAAGCTGGCGCCAAATATTAGAGAACTTGTGATTGTGGCTGCAGTGCCTGGCAGAGTAGCTGAAATCGGATCCTTTAGTGGACAGAATCTTGCATTCTGAGTGGTGCTGGGACCTCTAGCCTTGTTCTCTTGTGCCAGAACTGAATAGAAGGGCAGATCAGGAAAGGATCAGCTTGTCGAACCTGTTCTTTTTGTCACACGCAACGCTCAAGCTCAGATTAGTATGGGGACACAGCTCCGAGCCAGGCACACAACAACTGGAGGAATAGAGTTAGGACTAGGAGCCAAAACACTTGTGGCAACTAACTATTGGTGGAGCAGTGCCCACCCCTGCCTGGCTATGCTGTTGGGGTGTCTCCCCTAAGGCAAGCACAGTCTCCCAGTGGAAGAGGAAGAGGAGTTTGTGGTGGATGGAGATACTGGAGCCAGTCCTCCTCTCTCACACTGATACTGGTTCGACTGTGAAGAATGTAGCACATCAATATTGCCACACGTTAGAGAATCTTCTCACCCCTGGACACATGCTAATAGGTCAGCTTCTTAGGAACTTAGAATGGTGTGTACATCAGCTATTCAGTGCTTCCAGTCACTAGTGTGTGATGGTGAGTAAATCATTTGACACTTCTGTTTTGTAAGACTAGAGACAATAATCAATTTCAAGAAAGTTCCTGGCAAATAATAAGTGTATGGTACAGTAAGCTGTTTTAACTATAAAAGCATTTTTCCAAGTTGGTTTCTGCTTTATCACAATAAGCCTCCACTGTTCTAATTCATAATGATATTCCTAGACAGTAAAGGTTGTTTCCTGATTTGTTTTCATGACAATTCATGGTCAGTAAGACTTTAAGCCTTAAAAGCGAGAGAAAGCACCCCCTTCCATTTTTCCTGGTCATTTGCTATTTTCTTGTTTTACAGATGAACCCCCTCTCACAAGGCTGATACACACCTTTTGGCTTTTAGGGTTCAGATCGTGAGAAAAGCAGCTCCACAAATTTGGCTCACATTGAGCCAAAATTTGTTTAGTTCTGTCATCGAGGCTTCTTCTGTTTTGATCCTTGCTGTATCCTCACTGTCCAAGGGGACACTTGGAATATAATGCATGATCAAAAGATGTTTCTTGGGTGAAGAGAAAATATCTCTTTTTCTTGGGTGTAACAAGAAAGTATTGTAGGGGTGGTTGCTTCCTGTAGCAACTGAACCTGACTTACCAAGAAAGAGCCAGTAGACTCCCTTTAGGCGAAGTCATGCTTTGGATCCTCATTAAAACTACAGAGCAAGTAATTCCCCTTGCTGGGCCTGAGAAGGGTAACGTGGCGCTGCTTTCCGAGAGCCAGCTCAGGTGTAGATGTTGGACTGGGAGTGTCTGTTCAGATGTCTGCTGGATCCCACCACGGATCAATCCGCTAACATAAAAAACCGATCGCCCCTTTTGTTTCCTCACTGGCAAGGTAGCAAGAAATGCTATTCGTTCTTGTGGGACGTAGTCGGCACTCAGGAAGCACTATTTCCTTTTATAGTAAAAATACCTCTAGGAAAAACAAAGAAATGTGGACTGTCTGGTGAAAGATATTTGAAAATTAATCATGACAACTTTTTCTGTAAAGCAGTAAGATAGAAGAAATACGTGTTCCGTCCAATTGCGCTGAGAACGTGAGGGAAGAAGTGCCAACTCCCACGTTGGGGTGGTACAAAAGCACCACAGAGCAACCTGTTTGCCCCTGGTTTTGAAGGATGGATCGGATTTCAGTGGTCACAGGAATAAGTGGGTTCCAAAGTGTGGTTTCAAAGAAAGGAAGTGCTGAAAGGAATCCGCCCAGGCATGAGCGGCTGCTTGACTCCTGGGAGAACTGCAGTATGCACCCTGCAAGAAGGGCTTGCGTTGCATTGTTGATTAACTTGATCATATCTGTTCATCTCTCTGCACACGGATTGATTTCCCCCTACCGGGCATTTTGTTTGGTCCCTCTCTTCATTTCTCATGGCTTCTAGCATTGTGCTTGAGCTATAATAGTTGTTGCACAAATCTTTGCCGTGGGTTTATTTCCTTATGAGTAAAATGAATTTATTCATCATCTTACCTCCTTTTCAATTAAGAAACTAAGCAAGCAAATATTTGCTGAATGTTATTATCCTGTCAAAACCCGAGAGTAGTTCTGTTAATCCTAAACCACGGTGATTTTACATCTTCAAGAAAGCACTCGTACTCCATCTGTTAACTTCTGCTAAGCATTAGTTTAGAGTTTTTCTTAATATTCAAACAGCTAGTTATCTGAAAGACACATGCGCGCGCGCACACACACACACACACACACACACACACACACACAGAAAAAGGGTTACCATCTATTGGTTTACTGTCCAAATACCCATGGATGGCAGGCCAGAGCCAGAACCATGCCAGAACACAGGACAGGCGCGAGTGAGGAACCCAGAATCCTGGAGTCTTCCTTCCCCTGCTGAGAGTAATGGCGCACATTCGCCCATTAGCAGTCATCTAGAATCAGGCATGAAGCCCGGATTCAAGCTCAGAAACTGGGATACAGGCTGCTGGTATTCCAAGCAGTGGCCTAATCTCCGTGCCAGACTCTTGCCTGCATTTCGGAGCTTGAATGTGTGATAGAACTGTGTCCTATTGAAGATGTTGCATGTCTGCAGATGAGGGGTTCGGCAGCTGCTATGAGCAAAAGTAAATGAAAAGTTTTTGTCTGAACCGTTTCTAGGGTTTAAAAATTTGTTCTACGGGCACGTCAAGCTCATTATTAGGTAACTGTGATCAAGACTGAAAGATCACTCTCCCAATTTGTAATTTGTTTTTAAGTAACTACAAAATTGTTAGAACGTAAATATTTATGCAATTGTTTGGACTTCTCTACTTAAAAAGAGGAAACAAAACCCTATTGGCACCGTGGAGGAACTGCTCACACACTGAAGACCCCTTGAACCTGGACCATTTGGGAACCTTCAGGTAAGAGTCTGCCTGTCTGGATATATATATATATATATTAAATCTGAAGATCTTTCTTATCCATTACATCAGTAAAATCTAGATATACTGTATCTGAGTCCTGTGCCACGTCAGTGAGCCAAAGCCTATCTGTGCCCTGCGAGAGTCACCTATGTGGTCGCTAGGAAGGCGCTGTCAGTAGTGCTGTCAGATTTGCAAGCAGCACCTAATCTGTTACGCATTCCCAGATTTCCCTTAGCAGTTGAAAATGTCTCAGAATAGTGTTGGGCACAGACTTCGTATTTTGGCTATCATCAAAGGTAAGAGTTGAATGGCGGGGGGGGGGGAGGATGGGGGTGGGTGATCACTTAGACACTGGGAGCAAAAATAAAAAGGTACCGAGAGACTTGGGTTGAAGCAGGGCTTCGTTTGGGTGTCTCCATCTTCCCGTGGTCCTGCTACATTTCATCAAGGTCATTTGTAAGCACTACCACCCGGTAAGCATTGTGCCAGACTCAGCGCACAGTGGTGCTTGCAAGGCCATGGCAGACCCCCTAGTGAGGTGCAGAAGTTCCAGGAACTGGTCAAGGACTAGTTCTGTAAAAGAGCTGGAAACGGGCTGCCCATTTGAAGGTGATGTTTCAAGACCTTTCCTACGTATTTATAATCTTGTGAATTTAGCAAAGAGTATTAGCAGAAAAGGATCTGGCGTTAGCATAACAAATAAGAAATGTTGACATAAGGCATACTATGGAGCAAACTAATTTTTTTACAGCGAGAAAAAAAAAAAGGTTTCATGCCATCATAAAATATTCAAATCCGCTTACTTCTCCCCTCCAGCCAAACCACAGTATTTTACAGTCCGCCTCTATCCACTGCTGCCTCTAAGCATTGTCTCAGACTATATTAAAAGCTGTGGATGGACGCACTCAAGAAAAGCAATCAATTTCCTTTTGTACTATAAGTCCACTTTGTACCCCTTGTTTCAACTACTTAGTCATCCACCCAACAGTGTACTTACCAGCGTACACAGAAAAACTTGATAATATCTGACTTTACTGGCCCGTTACAAGTGCTCAGACTCCAGCTGTGTTTTGAAGCAGGGAGTAGGTTAACAGCTCTTCCAGGATCGTGGGCAGAGGGACTGTGTTCTGGTTAGGTGTTTCTGCTCTGAAGCACAATAGCAGAACAGGAAAAGTCCCCACCCCGCCTTCCGCATCCGAAGGATTCGGAGATGGTATCTGATTACTTACTGTGCGTATTTGCGATTCCTGGTGCTTATGAACCTGGCGCAGTTTGGATTGTGGAAATAACAGCAAACAAAATGGTCACTGTGAGCCAGTGGGGTCTGGGCGCTCACTGCCTACCGGATGAACCCTGTCGAATGTTGTGCAGGATCTGGAACCTGTGTTAGTTCTTGTTTATATTTTAACTTGCTGATGAGTTGCAGCAGTGAAATGCTACAGAAAATGTTGTCTGACGGCATGTACTTTAGACTCACTCTTCTGTAAGTTCCAGAGACAGGAAGTTTGACAAGCCATATCATTCATCAATTTTATTCTTCAGGAGAGTGAGAATTTAATACGACAATGAAGTTAGTCACTGTCCCACCGATGACTCACTTTCAGCAGTTTTGACTTCATTCACATTGGCAGAAAACTGTTATTTTAAAAATGATTATCTTTCACCCACATCATCAAACTCAACTATTTTTTCCATAGGAAAAAAAATGCATTTTATTTAATGACCAAGTACACACACGTTCAGATGTATAACTAAAACAATATTTGTGCTGACCAAGTGGGATGCACTGTAAAATGTTTTGCTCTTGTTCTTGCATGTAAAAAAAAAATCTAGTCACTATCAAGCAAATTCTTCAAATCATTAATGTCATAATTCATAACAGCTTTTCTCCTTAGAATTAGCCCACAGTAGTACAGTATTACTCAGAGACAGAAAAACTTCAGAAAGCCTTGTTACTCTGTACCCGGCCAGGACCCTCCCAGCCCCAGCAGCTGAGGGCATGTCCTGCAGTGTGGAACAGGGCCCTATGTCTGTCATACATCTTACGTGTCAGTTCTTTTCATGTACATTATTTCACTCAGTCCCCGCAACAACCCTGTCAGGTAGGCAGGGAAAATATTGTCCAAGTCACTGCACAGATAATGAAGTTCAAGTTCAGAGAGGTGACTTTCCCAGTTGTCACAGACCTTGCAGGAGCCTGAGTTAAAATAGGGATCAGCAGCTTTTACGTTGAGGTCCCCTTTCTCTAAACAGCATTGTTTCTTAAGAGTATAATCTAACCTTAAACAGATTGATTTCTCTCCCTTCCCTCCTTTTTAAAATGACTGATTCAGCTTTACAGAGGGTACAACGGAAGATTTAGTTTCAAACTTCATGCCAAACTTATGCTTCTCTAACTGTAGACACTTGATGGCCACAGAACACACTTATTTTTAAAGAAAGCACAGTTCTTTTGATTCAAGTCTAATGGAGTGTAAGTAATAGGAAAGACCTTAAAGGTCAAGGAAATTGAAGAGAAGTCAGAGAAAAGGCTATAAAATGGAAGTTCCGAATGGGTTTTAGCCCCTTGAAGCTTTGGCTTTTGTGGCAGGGCTCAAAGGAGAGGTTTAATGTAGATGGGACTGGAAGGTTCTGAAGAGGCTCGAGCTCTTGATGAGGTAATTCAGACTCAACTCTTGAAGGCGTCATGATGAGAGCTCATGGTCTTCAAAATCTTGGTATGTGATGCTCTCCCAAATTGCTAGGATTTGAATGCTACCATAGGAACTGATTCATTTTATTTCCCATCGATGGTCCATGGGTTTCTTTCAATGAAGTACATGTTAGAGTCCGTAGTTACCAGTGTTCTGAAAACTGTGGGAGATGCACGGCTCCGAGCGAACCACACATGGCCCGCCCTGCCCATCGCGACCCACACTCAACTTTTAATGTTTGCTCAAGTGCAGGTGATTGCCTATACACTTTGAAACATAACACGCATGCGTCACAGGGACATGATATTTGGGGTCACTAGCTCTGGTTTCAAGTACTGTGGTTGTCTGTTATCACAGTACTCTGGAGAATATTTTCTCAGTTCTAATTTCCTCAGTATAAAATACACACAAAAACACAAGCTCCACTTTCTTGTAACGGGATTAGATGAAACAGCAATGTGTGTCAAATCTTGTATGTAATTGGCACTGTGATGTTAATGGTGATGTTGCTGTTGTTATTGTCAGAGATGGCTATCTGATTATTTTTAATAAAACTGAAATGACTCCCACAGGCTAAACTCAGTGTGGTAAGCTAAAGCAGAGAGAAGATTCTGGAAGAATACCCTTGTCCCTTGATTGTTGCTGTGATAACATCATGTCCTTTAGCCCTGCATCTGAAAGGCCTCACATGTTATTCAGCGTAGTGTTTACTTTTGAGCCTGACCTTCTTTTTGGCTTCTGATGTTTCTGGCAAGGAGACAGCATTGTTAGCTCTGTTGAACTCTGTATCCTTCCTGCAGCTACGCAGATGCTAACTGATTTCAAATATAACTTTTTTTTTTTTTATCCAGAAAGTACTATAAAGAGTGCTATTGATTCAAGTGTGGTTAAAAACTATTTATTTCTTCATTTTATTTGATTAACTAGAGAGGGAGAAAGAGGGAGGGAGAGTGTACACAAGAGAACGAACTATCTTTTATTCTCTGCTTCAAACCAAATACTGAGAGTGGCAGAGGTTGGGCCAGTCTCCGATAACTGAATCTGAGATTGCTACATGCTGCTGGAGTTATCTGCCTGCCACAGTGCACAGTATCAGGAAGCTAGAATTAGAGTGGAGCCAGGATCCCATGTCGGCACTCCAACCATGAAATACATGTGTCCCAAGCAGCTCTCTAACTGTATTCCAAATTTCTATCCATCACATATATCTTTAAAGAACAAAATATGCTTAACTTGGTGTCAGGAACATCTTAAGATCCAAGGTCACCATTAGTGTCCCAAAGGCCATCATGCTTCAAGAGTTTGATGTGTGTCTTGTACACGACAAGGATTGCCAGGGCTTCACAGGCGTCCTGCTAACCTAAAGGGCAGCAAAGGCGTTTGAAGTGTTGAAGCATGGTAATTGTATTATTGCGGTGCCGTTGTCTGTGATCAGTAAGATTTAACAGTAGCTGAAAATGAGAAGATTAACCTTTTGCAAAACTTCCACTTTTGGCTGCTTTGGGAGCTCACTGTTGTTATGACTTGGACCACAACAGGTAGAAAGTGCTTTAGTTCCCTTACAAAATGGATCTGGACTTCCACAGTAATGCTGTTTAGGAAAGGTTTTCTGTCTCCTGCAAAGTTTGCGGGCATATACTTCTTAGCTCCCTAGTGGACGGTTGGGAAAGTGCAGCCACGCTGCTCAATGAACTGTGAGCCAAACATTGTGTCTTTTGGGGCCAGAATACTAAATTGCAGGTTCAAGATCCATTTTCCATCACTGGGGAAACCAGCAACCTCAAAATATCTGTTCAGTTAGCTTGGATACTTGACTGGCGGTGGTGAGCACAGCCAGTCTTCAGTGGACATGTACACAGAAATGAGGTTCATTTTGTTACATTGGGAACTCAGTATGCTTCCCAGCTACCCTCTCTGAATGAGGTGTGAGCGTTAGGCCTCTAACACTCCGATTGCATTTCTGCAGCACATTTACAACTCTGTCTTCCCTTCCTGTTTTCCCTGCTTGGGTTCTTATTTATAATCATAGACTTTTAGGGTTGACCGGGAACATAGCTCCAGACCCAGTTATGAACTGGATCTATTGAGTGCATTTTTTTCTCTTTCTCTTTGGAAAGACAAAACAAAGTTAAACAGAATTCCCTAATTCCTTGAACCACACCATTCTCGGAAAGTGTCAAGAGGTTGTTAACTTTCACACATCACTGCAAGCAATTCGCTCTTCAACGCTTTTAAAAAATGCACGTCTTGCTAAAGAGGTAGTTTTCCCAATTCCCTTACAAGCCGAGGTTGATCTTTGTCTTTTTGTGAGACACTTGTGCCAAAGGAAATCACTCAAAGAAGAGGGGAGGCAGCACCGAGACTAACTCAAGGCCGATTATTGTGTTAATGTTTATATCTGTCAGCAGTGGTGAGCCACGACTCACAGCTCCACTATCCGAAGACTGGAACAAATGGCAGGCTGTTTCTCTTAGAAAACTTTTAACTATCTTTGGAGCTTGATGAGGATTTTGTGGGAAAGACTATCAGGTAGCAACTACCGTTTTACTAATGCTTCGTCCTGTGTCTGTTAACAGAGCTTGTAATGATGTGACGCTGTATTCAGCAAGTACAGTAAGGAGCATGTTGTTATCTGCAGAGTGGAATGGTTATCCTTGCTTTGTCTAATACAAGGTTGTGTTGGGGATAAAGACAGGTAATATTTATGGGGGTTTCTGTAAATGCTAAAACACATCAAGCCACACTTCAAAAATTTGCTTTATTTTTTGGCTTGTTCATCTTGTTCTCCCTGGACATAGCACAACTGCTAACCTATGTGAATAGTCTGTACATACATTCGGATAATGAATGACCGGTATCCATTCATACATCCTTGCTTGAGAGTGTATGTCTATTTTTCTATGGCGCTAAGAGTTTTGTATGAGTAGAGACTCTATACTGAGATACAACCCCAGGGTAAGGCTTAGGCAATATGAAAACATATTTACATATTTGCAATATATGTCGATCGGAGCAGCTGGGGTCTTACCAGGGTGACAGATCTCCCTGTGTCTTCTGCTGACTTTTCTTTGAAAGATATCTTGATTTTCATTACAAAGGCAGATTCACAGAAAGAAGGAGAGATAGAAATATCTTCCATCCACTGATTCACTGCCCAGATGAACACAATGGTTGGATCTCAGTCATTCAGAAGCCACAATCCAGGAACTCCCACATGGGTGAAGGGGGTCAAAGACTTGAGGCAAATCCAGCTGGTTTCCCAGGCCCTTAGCAGGGATCTAGATAGGAAGTTGAGCAGCTGGAACGTGAACCAGAGCCCATTCGGACGAAAGTGCTTGAAAGCAGAGCACCAGCCTGTTGAATCACAGCACTAATCCGGCTCAGCTGACCCTTTCATGGCTCTCTCCATGTCTGCGTTGGGTTTTGAGTGCGCATGCCCATAGCAGTCACTCTTGGCATTCTTTCTCTTCCACACTGTGGCTGACCGCCATTATTTCTTTTTTCACTGAGTATATTAACTGAATATTTGAAGGGCCATGGGGACACGTCACATTGCAATCTACTCAACATCTTATTTCATTAACTTCATTCTTCCTTTGCTTCTCATTTTCTTTCTTCTATTAAATAAATTTTAAAACGTTCTTACTTTTCTACTGAAAACCTCAATTCTGCCCTAACCAGGATTCTTAAAAATCTCTCCTTGGGAAGACACCTTTCCCCCCACATTCCTGTTCTTAACATCTAATTTAATGCCTGTTAATGTAGCCATTAGCATAACTTTATTTTACTATATGCAAACATACTAAAGTAATTTTTGAGATTTCTTTGACAATGTATAGTTCATTATTTTAAAAAGATGCTGGAGATAATTTCTATGTCGGGTTTAAGGAGATAGAAGAAAACCAATTAACATGGTATTTCATGTTGGATATAAAAATGGATGCTGGAAAATAGAGAGAGAGTACACAATAAATTCTTAATTGTTTTATCACCCTGTCTACCAAAGTTTGCGTTGTTCAATGTAGGCTTGAATATTCTGTGTGCCATCATTCAGATTTGGAAGTCAGATTATCTTGTCAGCAAAAGTCAGCTGTACTCCCTTAGAAAACCCATTTAAAGGAGCTTTAACACATCGATGGAAAAATGGAATTAAAATATTTTACTTTGGTTCCCAAGAGAATCGAGCTCTCTGGATATTTTTAATAATTCACAGGGGTTGTTGATGCTACTATGCGATTGATAGCTTTATACTAGTTGGTGACTCAGAGAACATGGAAATCTAATAGATAAACTTTTTTATTTGTTATAATCAAAATCTCGTTCCCAGAACACATAGCATAAACAGATGGATATCTAAGAACAATATTAAAATACATGTATCAACCACAACGATAAAGTAGCCAGTTCTTAATAGTTGTTTGTTTGGAAAGAGCACAAAGACCCTTTGATGACCTGAGGATTCCCTTGTGACTGCTGACGCTTCTTAGATCACAAAGAAGTCTAAAGTATTTCTGTCTTCCATTTGTTCGCTTTCTCCATTGACAATCAAATTTACCCTGTGACCTTATGATTTCGCAGCTTTCTTTTACATGCTCTCTACTAATTCTCTCTCTCTCTCTCTCTGTGTCACACACACACACACACACAAACCATAATTTTGCATGCGTAACCTGAAACATCTAGTGGATTAAGTGGTCTCTATTCATGCAGGCCACTGCTAAGGCCATGAATCTGCTTGAACTATACTCCACTGGACTTGAGACTGTGTGGGGGTTGTGGGAGGAGCATCCTAGCAAACTAACTGTATCATACAATGTTATTAACAATAAAAAAAAGAAAAAATGTCAATAATCAGTAATCGCCTTTTAATCAAAAAATAAGTTTATTGATCACTTGTGATTTTTTTAAAAAGGAATTTATAAGAACATCGCTTCTTGGCCTTTTGGCTAAGATCAAGTATAGGAAATTATAAGAGCAATCAAAATATCATGCTTATTAAGATGTCATGTGATTTGTAATCCTATTGGTATAATTGCAGTAGACTTAGAAAACACGCTTCCGTTGACAGATTGCCAGTACATTGTTTAAGGTCCTTGAGGGAGAAATCTAGGCCAAAACCCCGAACTGTGCCCTCAAAGCCCGTAGCATTTCCAACCTTTGCTCTCTCTCTCTCTTTGAAGGTCTTGCTCTGGACTCTAGCTTATCTCTCAAAACACAGTTCATGCAAAGAGCAGCTGCAATCAATGTTCCATGACCAGATATTTATCAGCTAGGATTGCTCAATGCTCTTGACGGTGAGTTGCTTGTGTAGTGTTTAAATCTCGATTCCAAGAAAAGATTTGTGTCTCCCGAACGGTGTAGTTCTGCTTCTCCGATGACAGAGACTACATGGGCCCCGGTTGCTGATGTGGCTAGAGCTAGAGTTAAGGTTCAGTTGTTACAGAGCCTTTCTTTTGTTCAGGAGATTTTCTTCCTTAGTTTTTTTCTTTCCAAAATAGCAAAGGCTATCTTGGATGTTATTGTACAGCTGTATTTCAGTGTAAATTCCTTCCTATACATTTTAGGTCTAGTAGAACAGTAAGCCTAAAATGACAAATAAAATCAGATTATATTTGCAAGGAGAATGCTTTTTTCTTTTCTGTATAAAGCTTCAAAAGTAACATGTGTATGGTTATATATAATTGATAAGTACTTTATCAAAAGCAGGCCATTGTATGTGTGTGTGTGTGTTACAGTAAAATGTTATGATCTTCAATTCTAGAATCCCAGAGACCTGGGTCTCCATCCCAACTCCATTGCAAGACCAGCTGAATGGTCTTAGACATGGTATCCAATTGCACTGAATCTCAGTTTCATTATTATACAAATAGGCAAAATATCTGTACTCCTTTCATAGAATTGTGATAGACACATATTACATGCACATTAGCATTACGTCTGGTCTATATCAAGCACTAAATATATGTATCCATTAGCTTTTATGGCATATTGCATTTACTTTTCTAGCATTGCTTCTGTAAAATGTAAGAAATGTGGCTATTTATTCAGCTTTCAGTATGGGGATCTAAACCTGTGTGAACATTGCCACTGCTTTCCAAATCTGTCCTCTCATTTTTCTTAAGTGATCTCTCACCAAACAAATGTGGTATGAATTCACAACTGAGAACTCAGTTACAAAATATACTGTAGGTGTTGAGACCATCGGGAACACTGGGCCAGAGTTAAATATCCTGCAGGTGTTGAGACCATCGCGAACACTGGGCCAGAGTTAAACACTAATCATGATTTAAGTTGTGCAATAGCTTAAACCACAGGATTTTCTTTTTAATCTGTGTAATTCCGCTATGTTTTCCAAATACATTTTGCATGTAAGGCCTGGCATTCTACCCATATGGACTAAGAAAAAAAAAAACACTACATGGTGTAATTTTGATTTAATGTGAAGACTTGGTTTTGCTAATTCTCCATAATTATTGCTTCATTTGTTCTATCAATTCCAAAATTTAGGATGTAGAGTTACTATTTTTTTTTCTTTTAATCTTTGTTTTCAAAAGAGGTATCGATTGACAAGCTAAAATGCCAAAGGTGTTTTGTGGACAGATTAGAACCACTGAAGTTGGAACAAAAAGGCCAGAAGAAGAGTAAAAAGGCCGAGGAATTTCAACAAAAAGGAAACTTGGAACTTAGATGAAGCTTTCAGAGACCGTGTCTTTAAAGGTTTCAGTATCCTTTGCTTCTGGGTGAAGATGGCACGCCTGGCTCCTTCCCATTGCCCAGGCCCAACCAGGCGATACTGGTAGGAATTACAGGGTCCAAAATAGAGTTTCATAGCCAGTTTAGGATCTTTAAACAGGAAAGAGAGTATGTCTGGCTTTGCCCCAATCTCTAAAGCCAGTTCGTCCAAGTAGTCGACATAATTGGTCTGCAGTTTCTGGCTCTGGCTTTCTCCAAACCTTAATGAAGGAAGAAAAAGGAAAGTTATAAAAAATGTTCTAAGTTAAAGGAGAATATTAGAGTTTGGAGATTGAGTGAGTTTTGGATACCTCACTCGTGCAAAGTGTGAGTTGATCTTATTCGGAGCTCTCTGTCTCTGCGAGCAGGATGTAAAATAAACAGCCATGACCTCAAGGAGGCTCTAGGAATGTGGTCAGATTGATAATAGAGGACTTGGAGTTATTAGGTAACTGTACTTCTCCAAGCAAGTATTTGCTAGCCAACATTACTGCCAAGATTCCTGAGGTAACACGTGTGAAGGCCAAGCTTGGAGTCTTGCCCGAGCACATGATTAATATTTATTTGCTGAATCTTCAAAGTTCCCGGGGGACTGGCAGTCATGTAGTAGACGCTCAGTGAACATTAGATGAATTAGATATCCCTGTCCCATCTTCTCCGTAACCAGAGCCTGTGTGACTCGATAGTCATCATATAAAACCAAATGAAGCAAGGGGGAAATGTTCTGATTTAGTACAGTTCCTGTATGTAAGTGGTTTGTTCTTAAACAAGAACAAGAATTGCCTAGAAGAATACGAAAATGCACTTGCATTTTATCGATTAGCTAAGCATTCTTGTAGGTAGTTAGATCACTGTGCCTTGAGCAACACTGTTTTATTTACTATGTAAAGTATTTTTGAAAGGCATGCTTACAAGTCAATCCTCTTTTCAGTTCTCTGGATAATGTCTGCCATCATTGTCCCCTCTGGAGGCAAGGTGCATAAGCCTAGAAAAGAAAAGCTTAGTTTAAAGTAGCAAGTTTGATTTATGATCATTGGCTTAATCTAGTAGCTTGTCCTTTAAATTACACTCTATTTAAAGTTATCTTGCCAGTCAGGGCTGCTGTGCCACTGAGCACCAGGGTGCCATTCCTACAAAGTTCTAGCTGAAGCTACCTGTAGAACACAGCCTGAAGCAGGAACTAAGACATGAAGAGACAGAGAAGACTCGGACAAGGTGACTCGGTGCCTCTGTGTTTGAAGATAAGAGAGACCGTGCCAAGTGATGTGGGTTATTTCCTAAAGGTAAACAGAAGCTATGGGAATTCCCTATACCAAGGCACAAGTTCATACTTGGCTTTTAAAGAAATATCTCTGGCTGATGGATTTAAGGAAATGGGCTCAAGCGGGAATAAACCTAAAATTAGGGAGACTAGTCAAAGGAGTGCTAATGTGAAATTGACTACAGAAGTGCAGGGGTCATAGAAAAAGTAAGTTGATGCAGGAGATTGTATTGTGAGTTTGTGATTTCATCTCCTGTTTACAAGTGTCCTGGTGTTTTTGATGTGTTGAGAAACAGTGAAGCCCCCACCTGTGACTCGTCTTGAGGTAGCTTAGATCCACATAGCCCAAAACTGAGCTCCTCGTTGAAGCTTTCTAGTCCAGCCTTGCATCTTCTCTGTATACCCTCTTGCAGTCACTACACCGTGCTCCATCAAAGCATCCTCGACTCCTCTCCCTCTGCCTCTTTTTCTCACATTGAACTAGTCAGCATATTCGTAACTATTTCTGACATTTATATTTTTATTTTCACTTTGTTGAGCTTCCCAGGTTCAGGTATATCAGAATTTAGTATAGGGTATTGAATTCACCTTCTCCCTTGTGTCAGCCTCCCTTTCAAGTCTGTATTCCACATGATTGTTTAATTAAATCATGTAAAGTGTACATCTGATA